GTGTTTTCTTTTTCTTGCAAGGTCGAAATTCGAGGACGAATTTTCTTCAAGAAGAGGGGAATGATAGCATCCTAGGAAGCTCAACTCTATTCAAGGACAAGGATGAAGCTTTGGAATCTCAAAGATGGCCTTTAACAATATGTTAAACTAAAGAGTTGTAAAATAAGGCCATTAGACTTCAAGTGCAAATAAAAAAGCTTTTAATTGTGGAGGACGAGCTCAAGACCAAAGGAGATAAATTATACAAGTTTTATAATTATTTGGTGGCCCAAATTGAAGTCCAAGAGGAGGAAGATTGAGTCCCGAACTCGGCCCTTAAAATCTAGCAAAAGGGCACCCAAAAGAGCCCAAAATGATCCTAAAAGAGGTCCAAATGGGGGTGTTTGAAATGGAGCCCAATTGGAGTCCAAACCGATGACCCAAACTAGTAGTTTTAAGGCCCAAATCTGCCTCAAAGGGATTTGGCTGCCCTTACCTAATTTTGTGACTTTTTTTATTTCTTAGTAACCACCCTACCTAATTTTGATGACTTTGTTACCCCTTAGCAGCCCCTACCTAATTGTAATGACTTTTTATGCCTTAGTACTCCTATAAATAAGGAGTTCTTCTCATTCATTGAGACACTTCATTATTGATTAAGTATATCATACTTTGAGAGTTCTTTTGAACCTTTGTTACTTGTGCTTTGAGATTTATCTTTCAACCTTTACTAGTTCATAGTTCAAGGTAGTAAGATTACTTCTCTATTGTGATATCTTTGATTCCTTTGTGGTATTCTTAGAAGGCGATTAATACTAGTTATTAATTATTGTCTCAAGTTACTCGTAAAGCGGTCAAGATCCGAATCTATTATTTTGATTTGCTTTTAAGTAAAGGCGTTTGATTTCTTCAATAAATCAAGACGTTGTGCTTTGATCTTGTCAAGGCTATAGAACTTGCGTTCTTGGAAGTTCTTGGAATTCTTTTCTTGAATTTTTCCATATCCTTTATTTTCTGCACTTTAGTTCTAGTTGCTCAATTCCTTATTGTTATTGCTTCCGCATTTACTTTTCAAATTCTTACTCTAGTTTGGATTCCCGACCTTGTCGTTATCAAAGAGTTCCCTTTGCGATCGCGAGACCTACTTCGCAATCGTGATGCACAAGTCAACGGCCGCCTCTAGAAGACCCTACACGAACACTGGCATGACTAAAACCACTGGCACACTATCGCAATTCATCAGTCACCTATGCCTATGCGAACACGATACCTTCCCGCAACCGCAAAGGCTAAACCACCTGACCTCCCAGCCTGACACAGACCCTATGTGATCGCGACCAAACTACACGAACGCGAAGCTTCACCTTCCCACGGTCCGCGGCCTCGACATCCGCAGCACGAACACGAAGAAGGAGAAAAATGTTAGTCACCAAAACTCTCTCCACCATCGCGATCGTGAGAGCTCTAGAACACCAGCAAATCAGCAATTCCAGACATGAGAGAAATAGTCTGAAACCCATCCGAAATACACCCGAGGCCCCCAGGACCCCGTGCAATCACACCAACCAATCCCAAAATATAACATGGACCTACTTGAGGCCTCAAATCACACAAAATAATGTTAAAACTACTAATGGCACCTCAATTCAACCTTAATGAAGTAATCAAAATTTACGAATTTCAAACTTAGGCCAAACATGCCTAAAAGACTCGAAATGACCCCAAATTTTACACACAAGTCATAACTCTCCATATAAACCTATTACAATGCTCCGAACCTCAAACGGATATTTATAACCATAAAGTCAACTATGGGTCAAACCTATGAACTTCTAAACCTTCAAATTACCAACTCTCGCCAATTAGTATCAAATCAACCTAGGAACCTTCATATCCAAATATGGACATACGTCTAAGTTCGAAATCACCATACAGACCTAATGGAACTATCGAAACTCCGATCCGACGTCAAATACACAAAAGTCAAACTTTGGTCAACTATTACAACTTAAGCCTCCAACCATGGAACTAAGTATTTTGATTCATTCCAAAATCTCCCTGAACCCATGCCGACCATATCTGCAAGTCCTATGATAATAAATACAATACAAATAGAATCAAATAGGGGGATACATGGCTAAAATATATAAAATATCCGGCCAGGTCGTTACATGCGTGCGTTCTTCCGAGTTTAACGCGTAGTTACAAAAGTAACTCTTTGATGCAATTCTCATCCTTACCAGTGACTCCCTCGTGCTTTCTCTGCGAAAATTCATAGTTCCTTAATTTCCTCCTCTATTGCTCCATCTTTTATGTTGTTTTCTGGTATTATTAAGTTTTGCTGCGTTCTCTATGGAGCTATAAAGTAAGTTCAATCTTTTACTCTTTTGTTCTTCCAATTTTATGTTCTTTTGCATATATCTGGATCTGGTATTCTTGGAATCCTTCTCTACTCACATGTTCTACTGCATTAGAATGGTATTAATTGGGTAAAATGGTTGGTGGACGGTCTCTCTTTTCTGTATTCCCGTCTCAGTTGTTTTTATGCCCTTTATTTTGCGTCTTTGCTCTTTTTATGGTTTAATCTTAATTTTTCATTTTTTTCAAATTTGTCCAAGTGCAATAAGAATGGACTTTGAGTTTGTTATTTTACCCACTACATTTCGACTTGCATTAGAGGTGTTTGTGATATTGCCCAAAAGAAATCACGACTATCTGTGGGCTCGGTTAGGGACCTCTTAAACTAGTTAACTTTGGTTAAAAATAAAATACCTTTATAATATGTTATCTCGAAAGTGGTATCAAAGTATTTAATCTTCATGAAATTAAATATCATCGACAAGTATTGATCACTGTAATTTTGAAGGAAATATTTACAACAACTAATACATAAACAACTGCTTCTACATCTATGTACAACCATCTTGCTCTATGCAGCTTTAACTGACTATACAATATTTCTTCGTTGGACTTACTACATCTTTTTTGTAAATTTTCTGCAATATTATTTTTTTGTAATTATATATACCGAAGTCGAAGTAGTTCATTTTCAGTCCTTTCTAGTAATTGTCAAACTGTGTTATATTTGCCATTCAATAACTCAGTAGTAATTATATGATTTCTGAATATTTTTTGCATTAGATGACCCTCCTCCAATGTATCTTTGTTTGACTTCTGAACTCATTCTTAAAAGATATAGCTAGATGTGTATCGCATTTGACTAAAAGATTAAAACAAAATAGATATCTCAGTCTTCTGAACTTCGATGAAAGGTGACATATTTTATTCTATTGCAGTCGCAAAGCATTTTACAGATGCAGAAATTATTGAAGAGATGTTGATCTTCATGACTAGCGCCATATACTCTTTTTGGCAGAATTATTATGATATTGAGCATCTTTAAGACATTCCCCGAAAGAAGGAGAATTGGATATTTGAATGGGAAGCTGATTAATTATCTTAGAATGTTTTCTATTTAACTTGTAAAAATATATAAGAATACTTTATACCTAATTTACCAAAATATCTTATTGTTTTTCCTCCAAGTCTTTGTTGATGAAAAGTGCCATTGTTCATCAGTGCTTGTGCTGCCAAGGAAATTCTAATATAATCTTCGGATTCTCCATTTAGAGATCTAATCCCTCTTTTGTAAAGCCCCATAAATTTTAGAACTTTATTTTCAAATAAGTACATGCTTAATGATGTAATTTAGAAAATTATGGTATGTGTAAAACCTACATGAGGTTGTTATATTCCCGGGAGTATGTTAACAAGAGTATGGTATGTATTAAGGAAGACTTCGGGGTGGTAAAACATGTATTAATTTTTAGTAACAACATTAGTCGTGCTATAGTATGAAAAGGCACAAGAGCTATCTGTAGAGATTTTAAGGAACAACAATATTCGTGCTTTAGCAAGAAAAGACATGCCCAACTGGCAGGCCAGCCTATAAAAGAAATGTGATTTAGGTTATTTTTCTGATCTTCTAAACCTAGGGCACGATTCACATAACTTATTTTTGACCACTTTAATCACGAGATGAGTTCTTATAATCAAGATTGAGGGCTTGACACGCCTTAACACGAAATCTAACATCAAGATCATAATTTTGGTATGAATTATGAGAACCCATCACTCCCAAAAGTAATTTTCGATGCTCTATCTTATTAAATTACTATTGTTAAAATGTATATAAAATATTCACCACAAGTATTAATAAAGTTAAATGTGAAATCGTAAAAAGCCATTAAAGGCTAGTTTGAAGCTTTTATTAAAAAGATTGGATTGCTAATATTGAATTAGAATAAATGATGAAGATTCTTCTAAATGATCTTTTGAGACAATAACAGATTAGCATGGGCATAGATCAGTTCCCTTGTCAAGAATCCTATTATTAGAAATTGGGTAATTATAGCGTAAGAACAGGTTCAAATTTTAAAGTATTGAACTAGATGGACGAGGATTGATGTTTTGTATAATCTTAAATATAGATTTTGGAGAATTTGTCAACGAGGATTGTTGAAGGAGAAATTTGATATTCGGTTTGAAGTGAGTTAAGATTTCTTCCCTAAGTCAAGGGCTAGATTAGAATACACATATCATTGCTTGCAATACATTTTAGAAAAAACTATATACGATTGCAAACCAGTTGAATGAGATGTTACAGTTACTTATTTATGAGTAATTGCTTATCCATGTTCAAAGGATTGTATTGCTCAGATCTTCATTTCAGATTTAAAACAGAAAATGATAAGCTTCTATGAAGTGTTATGATTGCATGTTTATGTGCAATCGCTTATACTGTTTAGATTTTTAGTTCAAATTCATATATCATATTCAAAAAAAGGAGAAGTAGCCAACCTCCCCGAGATGAGTATCACGATGGCTAGGGTTAGCTACCCCATGCTTGCAGGTGCTAATTATTTGTCGGGAAAATAGGCCGACACTTCCTCGTACGTATTCCCAGATTCTCTGTATGCAAGGGGAAATTATTTGTTCGATGTACAGGGTGACACTTCCCTGTGCGTCTTCTCAGATGACTACGTATGCATGGCCACTATGTGTAAGATGTTAGGACCCAAAGTATCACCAAGTCTTAATTGCACCTAGCATAACCCGTAAGGTAAACTAAACAACATAAGTCACTACTAAAATGAGAAACCAACAGTGATAATGGATAAAAGTAGAAAAAGAATTCAATACAACCATCTCAAGGACTAATAGTACATGTCATTAGCCACTATGATTTAGATTTAAAATCCGATAAAAAGAATACATAATACATTTGTTTGAAGCTTATATAAACATAAATGAAGTCCTAAACTACAATGGACAAGGGGTAGTTGGATTGGGAATGCTGGTACGTCTTCAATGTAAAGCTCCATCTTCCTCAGTTGCTCAACTCTAGAATATGCAAGCAAGGACTGACCCCATATACTCAGTAAGTAACTTGACTAACCTTAGTAAAGTAGTGACGAGGTTTTTAAGTAAAAGATACTCACTTTGCATAACCTGTGCAAATCAATAACTTGTATAATGCAGCGAAATATTCCAGAAAAATGCAAGTATAGAATAAAGGTGATAACGACAAGGTCGGGAATCCAAACTAGAGTAAGAATTTGAAAAGTAAATGCGGAAGCAATAACAATAAGGAATTGAACAACTAGCACTTGAGGGCAGAAAATAAAGGATATGGAAAAATTCAAGGAAAGAATTCCAAGAACTTCCAAGAACGCAAGTTCTATAGCCTTGACAAGATCAAAGCAACAACGTCTTGATTTATTGAAGAAATCAAACGCCTTTACTTAAAAGCAAATCAAAACAATAGATTCGGATCTTGACCGCTTTACGAGTAACTTGAGACAATAATTAATAACTAGTATTAATCGCCTTCTAAGAATACCACAAAGGAATCAAAGATATCACAATAGAGAAGTAATCTTACTACCTTGAACTATGAACTAGTAAAGGTTGAAAGATAAATCTCAAAGCACAAGTAACAAAGGTTCAAAAGAACTCTCAAAGTATGATATACTTAATCAATAATAAAGTGTCTCAATGATTGAGAAGAACTCCTTATTTATAGGAGTACTAAGGTATAAAAAGTCCTTAAAATTAGGTAGGGTAGTTGCTAAGGCATAAAAAGTCATTACAATTAGGTAGGGTGGTTGCTAAGGAGTAGGAAAAGTCATTACAATTAGGTGGGGGGCGGCCAAATCCCTTTGGGGCAGATTTGGACCTTAAAACTACTATTTTGGACCATTGATTTGGACTCCAATTGGGCTCCCTTTGAAACACCCCCTTTTGGACCTCTTTTTAAGCTCATTTTGAGCCCCTTTGGTGGACTTCAAGGGCTGATTTAGTGGCCCAATCTTCCTCCTCTTGGACTTCAATTTGGATCACCAAATAATTGTAAAACTTGGATAATTCATCTACTTTGGGCTTGAGCTCTTCCTCTACAATTAAAAGCTTCTTTATTTGCCATTGAAGTCCAGCAACCTTAGAGTGCAACTCTTTAGCTTGAGATCTTGTAAATGGCCTTGGAGCTTCCAAAACTCTAT